AGCGTAAGAGAGGAGTGGTTTTCTGGTATCGTAATATGGTCCAAACCAAGGGTTGTTGTTNTCATATACTCCATCAAGTCTTTCTAGCTTAGAACGCAAGTATCGAGGGGACCAAAGCTTCCTGGCATGCCACTTGTTAATAATAGAGTTTCTGATGATAAGCGGTTCTCCGTTCTTTATTGCAGCTCCTGCAAAAGGTGCTTCTTGATCCGGGAGAGAGATGACAGGTACTGTATGTATGGTTGTATACTCTATCCCTCTTTCTCTAAGGAACACATACCATATCAGGGCAGTACACAGGCAACTGAACAGGAAGGCTCCTCCAAGAGTTAAGTAAATCTGGCATTCGGGAGATATTACTGAAGATTTTGCTTCATGTATCTCTTCCCTCCCTTTTAAAATAGAGGATTTGTCACTTCTTGTAGATTTATTTCGTTTCCTAGTAGACGCCATTTTAAAACCCCGCCTAGATGTAGGCCGCGCCCATCCTGGCCACGAGGCGAGGCATGCCATGAGCACATGCTGCACCAGGTACTATAACTCATAACTGGCAAGAAGGCTCATAAGTAAGAATAAGATAACTGGTAAGGATAGAATCCGAGCAAGAATCAATAATAAAATCAAGTAAGGAACGTATCCACACTTGAACCTGTTTAAAATTTATTTTTAGAAGTTAAATTAGCTTGGACTAGTTTGTAGTCTGGTCACTGTTTGATGTCAAAATATGGATAATGAATATGGTGGTTACAGCTACAGGTTTATTGATGCTGATCTTCCTGATAAGTATAGTTGTGCTATATGTACGTTTGTAGCTCGTGATCCACAACAGGTTATCTGTTGCTCTCATATATATTGTAAGAGCTGTCTGCTAAAGCACGAACAGATATCTGAATTGTCATTTCACTCATTTAACTGCCCTAGCTGTCGTCAAGATCTTTATGGTAGGTATTTTCCTGATGGAAGGATTGAGCGAGAGATAAAGGATCTAGGAGTCTATTGTCCTAATGATGAGTGCCAATGGAAAGGAATTATTAAGGACATAGAGACTCATATTACTGCCGAATGTCCTTACCAGAGTATTGAGTGCAGTAATGGCTGTGGAGAGAACCTGCAAAGAATGGAAATGGAGACACATGTATCCAAGGAATGTCCTAAGCGTATTGTTACTTGTACACATTGTGAAGTGATTGGTGTTCATGAAGTAATATCTACCGATGCTCACTTAGATGTGTGTCCTTTCTTTCCCATTACTTGCACTAATGATGAATGTGATGTAATTTCTCCTCGTAATCAGTTATCAGCTCACAAAAGGACTTGTCCTAAGTCTATTGTCACATGTGAGTACAGCAGTGTTGGTTGTTCTAAGAGGATGAAACTAGAAGTACAAGAGGATCATAATGAATCATTTGTAAAGGAACATCTTCAACTAGCAGTCAATGCATTGAAGAATCGATTGCCTTCGAATTCCAAAGTTTTAAAGCTCAGGGATTTTAACAATAAGAAGTCAAAAGATGAAAAGTGGTATAGTTCTCCTTTCTACACATCACCAGGAGGCTATAAGATGATATTATCTGTTTGTGCTAATGGTAATAGAAATGCTAAGGGTACTCATGTGTCTTGCTACATTCATCTTGTACGTGGAGAAAATGATGATTATTTAGAGTGGCCATTTCAAGGAGAAGTCACTATTGAACTATTGAACCAACTGGAGGATAACAATCACAAAGCATATATTCTAAAGTTCAACGAGTCAACACCAGATAATTCTAAGAATAGAGTTGTAGAACAAGGAAATGGTTGTGGTTGGGGTTTTCATAGATTTGTTTCTCATTCTGAGTTAGGCCACATTACTGACACCAACTGTTGCTACCTCCTCAATGATTGTCTTCATTTTAGAATAACTGTGAACGCTACCTACAATAAACCATGGCTTCTTTGATTCACTTTGTTCTAAAGCTGTCATCATGTGCTAATTCTAGCCTACATTGGATTTATTATTTAATATTACGTGTGTTATTTTTTGTTGATGCACTTTCATTTTTAGAAACATGCAATCAGAGCATTAGCTCCAACGGTATTTGCTTTTTAGTGAATAATAACAAGCCCTTCCCATAATTATGCCACACCTTTATTTCCACATGCAACCATATGGTCTCCAGCACAGATCTATGTCTCCAGAGGGTATCATCTTTATACTTGAAGAGGTACTGGCAAGAGAGGTGAGGAAAGTGTTTAGGGGTCGAGACTGAAATTATCCACACTTCAACTGTTTTTCATTTCGTGAAAATGGTAGCTCCTAATAGATGTGGTGGGTATACAATTACTCATTACTTGATGATGACCTTTGCATGAGAAGTATAACTGTACTATATGTCAGACATGGGGTAATATGTAAGAGTATGATTACAGTTATTGGTGTAATAGTAATAATAATAGTAATTGAAAAAAAAACAAAATCCATTGTAATAGTAATAGTAACATGAAATAGATTCTCAGTAGTAGTAACTGTAATTGAAATTACAATGTAATATGTGTTGATTACATGCAAGCTGCACTTGACAGTTCATAGAAATCATTAAGCATCAATTTGTCAGTGCCACTGTCAGGAGGAACTTTGTGACACACCTGATTCTTTTTAAGTTACTTGGTCATGTGTAGAGGGCACGTTTTATATCAAAAGCTTTTATTTATGTACATGTACCTTCATGTAAAAGTAATAGTAATATAATCTAGTTACGATAATAAAGTAATAGTAATAGTAATAGGAACTAAATGTCAAGTAATAGTAATATAATATAATTACTTTAGTTTAGTCAAGTAATGTAATAGTAATAGTAATATCAAAAATTTTCTGGTAATAGTAATTGTAATAGATTACATTTTAATGTAATTGACCCCATGTCTGCTATAATATGCACGTTTGTAGCTCATGATCCACAGCAGGTCACCTGTTGCTCACATATATATTGTAAGAGCTGTGATCTGCTCCACCATAAGCAGAAATTGACCTGAGCTTGAGCATGGCTTGGATGAAGGGAAGCAAGCCAGGCCATTGTGTCGGGCGGAGTAAAGTGAATTTCTTTGCTGTGCATAGAAATTGTGATACCCATCATAGTGCGTGTGAGCAATGACATTAGGCTGTCCAATTCATACGTTGATTGAGGTTCTACATCACCAAACGCCCACTCACCTAATAAATCAATCTCACTAGTGAGGTAGTGATATCGACCGGGCAAAGGATTCTCAAGTCTTTTAAAAAACTCTTGACCGGAGAGAGAGACATTCGTTTTGTAGGGATTGAGACGCTTAGCGTAAGGGAGGAGTGGTTTCCTGGTGTCATAATACGGTTTAAACCAAGGGTTGTTGTTTTCGTAAATCCATCAAGTCTCTCTAGCTTAGAACGCAAGTATTGAGGGGACCAAAGCTTCCTGGCATGCCACTTGTTAATAATAGAGTTTCTGATGATAAGCGGTTCTCCGTTCTTTATTGCAGCTCCTGCAAAAGGTGCTTCTTGATCCGGGAGAGAGATGACAGGTACTGTATGTATGGTTGTATACTTTACCCTCCTCTCTCTGAGGAACATATGTAATGACTTATATACATTAACTCTCAGTGATTATTACATTTGTGTATTACTTTATTATTATGTGTGTATGTGTACGTGTGCATGGGTGAGCCTGCACATGCTCAGACTCGGTGTGAAAGATTTGGAATACATGTTTTGTTATTGTTATTGTTTTGTTTTGTGTGATTTGGAGCTCTCTTCTCCATTACTATTTGGATTCTTTGTAATAATTTGGTCAACCATCTTACACATATACCATGCCATCAGGGCAGTACATAGGAAACTGAACACTTGACTGAACAGGAATTAAAACTCCTTCAAGAATTAAGTAAATCTGGCACTCGGGAGATATTAGTGAAGATTCTGTTTCATGTGTAGTGAGCTGACTCATCATGACATCACATCAGAATTCATAAATAATCATGAACTATCTTTGTATTATAATGCATGCTGTGTAATTATTATCAGTGTTTGGGTCATTGGGTGTCAACATGAGGCATCGTTAGCTCTCTCTCTAGCGCAGCAATCCTGCCTGCCTTCATGCTAGCCATTAACCAGCACTTATTCTTATAGCAACACGTCTCATTTGCTATACATGTATCTCTTCATTCTCTTTAAAACAGAGGATTTATCATTCCTTTTAGATTTATTTCGTTTCCTAGTAGACGCCATTTAAAACCCCGCCTGTCAAGGCACACCCATGGCTGAGTTCAGTCAGTGAGTTGACTTGAGCAGCTGCAGAGAGTGCAGAGTGCAGACTGGCAAATTGTGGCAATTGGCAAGAAGACTCATAACTGGCAAGTTTGGAATCTGAGCAAGAATAATAAAAGAAATCAGGTAAGGAACATATCCACACTTTAACCATTTAAAATTTATTTTTAGAAGCTTAGACTTAGTCTTGTCACTGTTTGATGTAAAAATATGGCTGCAAATTATAATGAATATGGTGGTTACAGTTACAAGTTTGTTGATGCTGATCTTCCTGAGAAGTATAAATGTGCTATATGTACATTTGTAGCTCGTGATCCACAGCAGGTTACCTGTTGCCGCTCACATATATATTGTAGCAGCTGTCTGCTAAAGCACAAACAGAGATCTGGATCATTATTTAACTGTCCTAGCTGTCGTGAGCTTCTTGATGGCAGGTATTTTCCTGATGGAAGGATTGATCAAGAGATAAAGGATCTAGAAGTCTATTGTCCTAATGATGAGTGCCAATGGAAAGGAGTCATTAAGGACATAGAGACTCATATTACTGAATGTCCTTACCAGAGTATTGAGTGCACTAATGGCTGTGGAGAGAACCTGCAAAGAATGAAAATGGAGACACATGTATCCGAGGAATGTCCTAAGCGTATTGTTACTTGTGCACATTGTGAAGAGACTGGTGTTCATGATGTAATATCTACCAATGCTCACTTAGACATGTGTCCTCTCTTTCCCATTAAATGTACTAATGATGAATGTGATGTAATTTCTCCTCGTAATCAGTTATCAGTACACAAAAGGATTTGTCCTAAGTCTATAGTCAAATGTGAGTACAGCAAGGTTGGTTGTTCTAAGAGGATGAAGCGAGAGGTACAGGAGGAGCACAATGAATCATTTGTAAAGGAACATCTTCAACAAGCAGTCAATGCATTGCATAATCGATTGCCTTCAAATTCCAAAGTTTTCAAGCTCAGTAATTTTAGCTATAAGAAATCAAAAGATGAAAGGTGGTACAGTTCTTTCTACACATCACCAAGAGGCTATAGGATGAAATTGGATGTTCATGCTAATGGTGATGGTAATGCTGAAGGTACTAGTGTGTCTTGCTTCATTTATCTTGTAAAAGGAGAAAATGATGATAATTTAGAGTGGCCATTTCAAGGAGAAGTCACTATTGAGCTATTGAACCAACTGGAGGATAACAATCACAAGGTATGTACTATGAAATTCAATGAGTCAACACCAGACCGTTGTAAGAATAGAGTCATAGAAGGAAGAAATGGTCATGGCTGGGGTCGTCCTAACTTTGTTCCTCATTCTGAGTTAGGCCACAATGCTGACACCAACTGTTGCTACCTCCTCAATGATTGTCTTCATTTTAGAATAACTGTGAACGCTACCTACAATAAACCATGGCTTGTTTGATTTACTATGCCCTGATAGGCTGATACTGATGCTAGCCTACATTGGATTTTTATTTAATATTATGTGACATTTTTTTCATTGCTGCATTTTCATTT